TTGAAGTTTATAATAATATCAACTTGATTATTAATGTGTTATGCTATTTTTTAGGAAAATGATCATCAGTAGAGCGAGAAAATGAATAGTTTCTTTCATCTACTTCCGTGGCCGATGCGGAAACTTAAGTGTTGTTGAATGATGTTGTTACTACCCAGGTATGTGTTATGTATGTTGTATAATTGTAATTGACTTAAGTTTTCTATAACGTATGCTAAATTGTGTTTGTTAAACAATGACAGTTGTCCACTGGTTCGGTTCAGAATCTCGCAGGACAAAGTAATTTCTATACTGGACAGGAGTTTGTAAATGATGACCATGTCTCGTTGGGAGATGTTTGATATTGTTGATAGGTTGAAGCATATAGAATTGTATTTGGTAGAAATTATTCATGCTTTGGTTAATTTCTGCCGAATGCAGTTGAGTTATATGTTGATTTAGTTGTTTTGTTTTTAGTATTTTAGTCATTGGTTGTGTATGAGTAGGTTTTCTACTGTAGGGTTGTGAATTCATGATAATGACCTTAATGTAACTTATTATGAATGTTTTCAGTATATATTATCGTCACATTGCAGACTCTGGTTGTAAATGGAATTTCGGATATACATTTCATTTGAGATTTTAATTTTGATGTCTTTGGGTATGTCTAGTATTACATATACATATGCATTCAAAAGAGTATTTGAGATATGTATAAACAAAAGGCAAATCTATTTATAAACAAAAGTCAATCTTTATCAAGAACATCTGCTGAAATCAATCTATTTATAAACAAAAGACAAATATAATCTTCGTACATAAAGCTTAGTATTTGAACTTCACATAATGACAATTAACATTCATAGTGTGTTCCCCAAGAATGTTGACAAGGAGGAGGCTGTTGAGAAATTCTTCATCATGGTGCAGGGGGTGGAGGTTAATTGGAGGAGGAAGAGGCTGTTGAGAAGTTCTTCATCATGCTGAAATTTTTTGTCATGCGTTCCCTAAGGATGTCAATTGTTTCTTCTATTCTTGATGTGAACGAGTTGAAATCACTTTGCAATTGATCATGTTGTTCTTGCATTTTCCTCTCAATACGTGAAAAACGCTCCTCTTGAAACTTTTCCATCCGCTCAAATCTGCTTACTATTTCGTCTGAAGTATGAGAAGACATATCTTCTACATTCTAAGATGATCCAGGTTCAATACTCATTCTTCTTCTTTTGCACACATAGACTTGTCCTTCATTTACCCCTTCTGGAACACTGACACCTTTCTGAACCATTGCATCTCCATTTCATCCCTAATCACAAACCATTCTCCTGCCATATTTTTTTTAATCAAACCCATTTTACATAATGTCACATCTCCCAACACATTATTTGTGGAGAACTTAATCTTATTTGCTTCATCATTAGGGGTGATCTGAATACCACACTTCTCACATGTTAACGTAACAAGCATCCCCTAATATATTTCTCCTTTTTCTACTTGAACCTCTCCCAACTTCTTAATCAATAACTTCGTTGAATTTACTTGCCTCCTTGCTATTGCTGCTTCTATAAACATTAAATCCTTAATCGTCACGTTTCCATTTGTCTCTTTCCTACCATTAAATGTGTAAGTCAGATATCTGTGAAATACTCTCATAGTATGATTCTTTAACTTTGTAGATTTACACCTATGTGGATGGTAAATCCCTATCCCAGAAACATCTATCCAAGCTTGTTTGGAATCTCACGTTCTAGATACGTTATCCAAACCTTCAAAATCAAATCCTATCCAAGTTGCTAAATCTTGTGGTCTCACTACAAAGTTCTGATTCTTTAATCTAAAAAACATTGTATACGCCAGAAACTCATCAGTATCTGTCTCCAGAACTTCCAAACTACCAAAAAACTCATAGATCAAATGCTTATATCCATTATATCTAATACTCACCAACCGGTCCCATTTCAAATTATGAATCCAACCATTCATTTCATCACCCAAATCCAAACTTGTTATAAGCCCTAAATCCAAACTTCTTTCAAGGAAAATATCTCTTTTCAACACCTCCTCGTATTGCTTTTTATGTCGCAAGTCTCGAAATTGGATTCCAGATGACGATGTGCCTTCATGAGGAATGGTTGTATTTTTTGCTCTCACCATTTTTTGCTTTCTTCTAAAACCTGTATACATAAAAAATTCATCATCATAATCAGTTATAACTAAAGAAGTTTGAAAGATACAAAAGTGTCAATAAGAACATGAATCTCAACAGAAACCTATACAAAAGTATAGTTTGTCTGCATTCATCACTTTTTAGGTTGATATTTAGAAGAAGTTAGTTATGACTCATCACAAACAAAACAGCCATTTTCCTTACTAACTCATCCTCAAATTCATAATATCTTTAGGAAAACTATCATTTCACTTCAAATCATTTGTTTAATATTTTGTGTTCTGCTGCTAGATCCCACCCTTCGTTTCTGGGTCGATCCTCTTTAATGAGATCAACATTATCACTTATAATCGCACTGCCACCAATACATGGCCAGTTTATTAACAATACCAAAACAATTTGTTTAATAACTCACCAACCTAACAAGCACTCAAACCATATTTTAGTTGTCAAAAAACCATCCACAGGTCTGGGGCCGAAACTTGGTCCCCCTACTCCCTTATACAAATGAAACTTGGTCCCCCTTCAAGTAAAGTCAAAATCCTAGTCTCATCAAAGCCAAACACCTTCACAGGATTAAATGCTAAGGTTACAAATGAAACTTGGTACTGCACCAATAATGTTGACAATCCATATAAGTAGAGAGCATAATATGCTTGCGATTTTCAAGAGAACCTGAGAGCTACTAAGACAAATAAATCCAGACTTCAGGATAGATTACCTTTATTTCTCAAACTATTCTTCACAATGCTAGAGGTTTGTCCATGTAACAGAACTTTGTTTATTTAGAATCAAACTAACTAAAGAGAATTAAGCCATCCAAAAAAGAGATTTTCATACAATCATGTCGAATAAGAGATTTATCTATCTGATTTGAAATGCAAATCCTAATGGTTAAAAATGTTCTAGTGCTGAGTTAGCTTTACATATGCTTAAATTTCATAATACATTATATAATTTGCTCAATTTCTCTACTGCAGACAAGTTAAATTCAGAGCATTAACCAAAGAAACCACATGAAACATTAGAAGACAGACTCAATGTCAATTACCATCGATCGAACTTATATTCATCGAAATGTGATACATTCTTAGCAAAAAGTTTTGAATCAGGAAATTAATATGCTGTAATCAACAGATTGACCAGTTGCGTCATGGAAATACCCAAGAAAAGAGGAGTGATTCAATTAAAAGCTCAAGCTGGAATTCTGCAGGTAAATCAGAACCATTATAATCAGAATCATTATTCAGTATTTCAATCCCAACAATGTGGTCGAAGGAAAATAAGACTATATACCATTATAAACAGATACAGAAAAATAGCTATAAAAGTTAAACTAATGGTTCAATCATGAATGCTAATAACAAGTAATGGATAAAATAATTAACCAACAAAACATGCAAATAAGGGAAAAGGAAAACAAACAAACAAACCAACATCTTTGATGCAGAGAAATATGTGGTCCACCAAAATTGAACTAAAGAACGTCCATCTGCTTCACTAGATCGCTGTCCATCTGCTTTACTAGATCGCTATCAGAAGTCAATATGAGATATAGAAAACGTGATTAACAAAAACCAAATAGACTAATTACCTTACAATAATAATGGCAAATTAGGAACTTGAAGAAGAATCACGATAGATGAGGAACTTCGACGAAGAAGAAGAGCAGCAGATGAGAACTTCGAAGAAGAAGAAGAGCGCAAATAAGGAATGAAGACAAAGAAGAAGAGCGGAGATGGGGAATGAAGATGAAGAAGAAGAGCGACTTGTTGTTTTTTAAAATTGCCCCAAATTGATTTGACATAAATCCCAATTAAAGTACTCTTGGAAGTATTGACGACATTATATGTTGATGCCCGTCCACAAGTTAGGGACGCATGTCCACTGAATAATGGATGGGCGTCCAAACATTTGTTTTAATTTTTTTTTTAATTTACAGTATGGACGGGCGTCCGTTATATGCAGATGCCCGTCCAAAATGCAGGGGTGGGTGTCCATAACTGATGAATGGGCATCCCTACATTTTGTCTATATTTTATTTTATTTAAAGTATGGACGGGCGTCCATTATATGTGGACGCCCGTCCATTATTTTTGTTTAGAAGCTTTTTTTAATTAACTGATGAATGGGCATCCTTTAAATGTGGACCCTTGTCCATAGTAAATGGACTCCCGTCCATATAATATGGACGGGAGTCCATCGTTCATTTCGCATAGACAGGTGTCCACATATAATGGACTCCTGTCTAATAACAGTGAACAGCCGTTCACTCACAAAATATTTGTTAATGGGATACGTGGCTGGTCTAAGTCACGTGACACATAATTCGGTGCACAGTCCTAGTGTTTGTAGCATTATTGTAATAACAATAGTATAATTACATCTATCCTAATTCCAATTTTTTCATAAACCTTGTGTAAATCTTTAAAAAGGGTTTAAAAAAATAAGATATTATTTTGAGGTAATCATGATCATAAAATTACATAATATACATAAATTAGTAAATTACTAGAATATTATTACATCAATTAATATGTAAAATTTGAAATATAAACTTGAGATATATATAATATTATTCTTCGTAATTAGACTTCATGCTAGCAAGAGCCGCATGATAGAGAGCAACATTCTAAAGAGTCTCTTTGTCTTTAGATGCTCCTCTATCTTCCCCTTTACTAACCTGAAGAAGATGAGCATAAACCTTCGTTAGAGAAGGAAGTTTGTCACTGGTAAGGAGTTGTGTCTAAACTATCTCATATTCTGGTCTCAGCCCAGCCAGAAAACACTACACCACCATTTGCTCTTCTTGTTCTTTTATTCGCACAACATCTACAGTCATAGGGAATATAGCTCGTTTTTCCTGAAAGGCTTAATTCACCTTTGTATAGTATTCAAGTAATGTCTTCTCTTGCATATTTGCTCGATAAATCTGCAATAACAGCTCATGAACACGAGACAAGTCCTGTTTACTAGCATACAGAAACTCTAGATACTCCCATAACTCTTTAACTATATTACAATGATTAGTAACATCATTTACTATGGAATTCAGAGTATTCTGGATCTGATTAAACAATTTATCACCCTCCATGAGCCATTTCTTCCGAATTCTCCTAACACTCTCTAATTTCTTATCATTACCCTCTAGTTGCTTATCACTCTCTGTTTGTGGAAGTGAATCCGTAGGTGGATCCTCAGTCAAATGATCCCCCATGTCAATGCTAGAAACATATCTCCTAATAGTTTGTCTCCACTGAGCATAATTCTGCTTTCCCAGTAATATCAGTAATCTTTGCAAATTAGTGGACTAAAATTTCAGTCACCACTTGTTTACCTTCCACTGTCATAGCTTAATCAAACCAACAATGATTGACTACTAAGCTCACAGACAAGATCACCTCTAATCACCAATATCCAGCAAACCCAAATCACCAATTCACAACAAATTCATGACTCAAATCCAACACCACAACTAGAACAATCATCAAATAAACATAAAAAAAAAAAAAAAGGAACACAATAACTGGAAACTGCAGAATAATAAAAACAGATCACCAACTAGAAACCACGACCGGAAAATAGGAGACACAACAGACTTAGTTTCCATAAAAAAAATAACAACCATGAATAGTGTCTCACGAACAGTATCGTGTGAACAGTGTAGCGTGCACAGTGTCGTTGGCCATCAGAGCAAAACCCTAAGACCGGTGCTCTGATACCATGTGATAAAATATTCTACTATAGTTTTCTTTCAATAATCAAATAAAATAATATTACACCCTATGCATATTTTAACTAACTTTCATTTACACATATACCCCTAACTCTATACACATAACTTCTATCAAGTACCAAGATAAATCTTCCTGGTAATCATACTCCAAACAACATTCAATTGGGAATGGTAAGTGGCAAATTGCAGTGAGGTAATTTTGTATTTCCAATATCTTATTTTTAGCATTGTATATCTTTCTGGTTCCAAGGTTGTATTTCTCCTTTATTCACGATATATCATGAAAATTAGTAAATAAAAAGATAATAATTGATAAATAAGAGATAGAAGAAATATTTTATGTAATAAAATATTTTTATATTCTGTTATATTTACTTCCTTACTCCAAACATAGATTAATGGATGCTTGACGTTAAATACAAGTGAGGAGATTTTGTTAAGAATTTATTAGACAAATCATATCTTAATTCATATAATTTTACTATATTTTCAAAAAACAAAAATCATTTGTTATCTCCAACCAAAGTTTAAATGTGATTCCAATTTTGGATCCCAAACTAACAACCAAAATTTAAAAGTGATTCATAATTGATGTGCTTACTAAGGTATCATAATTTTGGTGCCATAATTTTATTCCCTGACATGATATAATTGTTTGGATGGCTATAAAAGGAAGACTCCCCACTAAGCATAAGCTTTAATCATTCTAAAGCTTATGAGGGACAAGAATCCTTTGATCATCTTTTCTTTGCTTGTCCATTCACTAAATCCATATGGTGTAGTATACTCGAGTTAGCTCATTTTGAGTATTTAGTAAGACCTTGGCATGATTATACTTTATATCTTGCTAGAAGATGGAAAGGAAAAAAGCTCAAATATGCTATTGCTAAGCTTGGTTTGGGAACTATGGTGTATTGGGTTTGGAGGGAGAGAAAGAGTAGGATCTATTATTGATTTGATCAAATGCATTGTGAGAGAAAGAGTTATGAACTTTAAAAACTTCAAGGCCTCCTTCAGCAATAGGACTTTGGCGGACTCATGGGGTCTCCCTAGGGTTGTCTTCAAGTCCTCCTCCTTTGTTCCCGCTCTTGTCAATTGATGCCTCCCCGGGTCAGCCATTCCTTGGATGAAGATTGAGTTGTTTCGGCTCTTCTTTTGAGTTTTCTTGTATTTTCTTTTGTTTTGCTAAGCTTTTTTCCTAACCCGGGGCATGTCTTGAGGTAGGATTTTTTGTTTGGTTTGGTTCCTCTTGGCTTTGAGGTGTTGGATTCTCTTGGTTCCAATCTTTGTTTTTGAAGATTGTAAAACAAGAGGAGTGAGTGTTGCTGGGCAGTGGGCAGCCTTGGTTAAGGTATGCTTTCTTTTAGTTTTGAGTTGGTGCTTTGTTTAGCTTTTGGCTGTGGTTGTCTAGTTTAGTATTTTGTTAGTAGTCTTAGTGATTACTTGATTATTTTAAGCCTAACCTAAGGCTTGTCCTATGATATGTTGGCCCTTTTTATATGACCTCTTGTAAATTCTTTCATATTCTTATGAATACTTCCTTACCCAAAAAAAGGTGTTAGCAACACGTTAATTATATAAAACACTATATCATTTTACAAAATCTTACCATTAATATGGTGGAGTAATGCTACATATACACATTAATTATACAACCCTGCATGTTTGAACTACCTTAGTAGTTGCATCAATTTGTATGACCACCTTGATATCCATATCAGTTGACACCAAAATTGAAATTTCAATGTTTTACACATAGTATTATTGAAAAAATAATAATCATAATACAGTGTAATTACTGTGTTATAATCAGATTAAAAAAAAAAAAAAAAAAAGAGTTCAAATTTATCCCAAATTCCTCAACTTCGACTGCTCCAACAACAACTAAATTGACGATATTATCTCGAGAAAATCCTCAAAAAAATTAACCACTTTGACATTATCTTCAAAACCCCCATTATTGACTACTTCAAACTCACGCACTCAAAACTCTTCAATCTGCTTTAGCATTAAATCCATTCTCATCTTCACTAAAATGGCAACAAAAATTGACGGCATTGAAGAGGCAGAAATCTCAAAGATGGAAGAAGGTGTTGCAACAAACAAAGGCAATGGCGATCGTTGGTCATCAGCTTCAGTTGTGAGCATCTCACAAAAGGTTTGTCATTAAAAAAAAAATACTAATAAAAAAAAATTTGAATATGCATTAGATAATTTAGAATTAACTGTATTTGGATGTAAAATTTTCAGTTGATCGCAGAGGTGATAGGGACGTACTTCATTATATTTGCTGGGTGTGGGGCAGTTGTAGTGAATAAAATATATGGATCGGTCACATTCCCAGGGATTTGTGTGACATGGGGTTTAGTTGTCATGGTTATGATTTATACAGTCGGCCATATTTCTGGGGCTCACTTTAACCCCGCCGTCACCATTACTCTTGCTATTTTCCGTCGCTTCCCATGGTGGCAGGTCAGTTGAGTTGCGTAATGTTAAAATGAAAATGGTATTACTATTTTAACAACTCTTTCAATCTGTAGGTTCCGTTATACGTTGTAGCTGAGCTAATGGGATCTATCATCGCGAGTGGAACGTTATCTTTAATGTTTGATGTAACTCCGAAAGCTTATTTCGGAACTCTGCCTGTTGGATCCAACGGTCAATCTCTAGTTGCCGAAATCATCATCTCCTTCCTCTTGATGTTTGTTATTTCAGGCGTCGCCACTGATAGTAGAGCGGTTTGCATTCTCAATACACCACCTTTAATTAACATATAGTCTTCTTAATTAACTAAGAATTGTTGTGTTTTTACAGATTGGAGAATTAGGAGGGTTTGCTGTTGGAATGACCATAATGTTAAACGTCTTCGTTGCCGGGTATTTTTCCAATCAGTTTTTTTTTTGGAAATATATTCTAAACTCGTGTTGACCCTCTTTGTAGAGAGTAACCACTGTTTTTAGAAATAATATCATTTAATCATTAAATGTATCAACAATTTCATCAATTTACCATATGTTAATATAATATATTAATCTTTAGATGTTAGATTGATTAAATTTGGATAAATAGTGAAAACGTTTCCCCAATTTGTTTTACTCTTTGAAACATTTTTTTGTTATCCTGTTTCGATTAAAAAACATTTTTTTTATTACTGCGATCATTATTTTGAAAATCAATTTGAATCAAATAAGATTTTTTCAATTGAAAATGAAGAGTGAATAGTACTTGTTTTCTATTATCCTATTCTAACATTTTTCCAACTCTATTTAACTAAAAACAATTACATTTCACAATAAAAATTTATAAATTAAACAAAACATCCCCACACACCCAAGCCACTCCAAGCCGCTAGCAATCACCGCTGGTTGTCATCGGAACGACGCAAACGGCCAGATCTACGACCAAAGATCTGGCTGTTAACGATGACCATATTTTGATCGTTGTTGACGGCTAGATCCATGGTGGATTTAGTCAGAAAAAGCCAGATTAGCGCACGACCGGAAAGATTAATCTGGTCGTGTGCCATTCTGCTGACTGTTGGCTATCGTTCGACGATGGTGGCTAGTTGCCAACAGTTTTTCGGTAGGTAGGAGTGTTTTTGTTAATTCATAATTTTTTTTTTATGAGAGATGTTTAGCTAAATTAATAAATGTAGGGGATTAAAAAATAATATAAATATTTTCAGAAAATATTTTCAAAAAATATACCAAACAAATATTCTAATTTTTATCTAATTATGAGATAATTTTTAAATATTATACTAAACACATTCTCATAATCATATCTTATTTGATTTAATCATATCCTATCATATTCATATAATTTTTCATAGTAACATTTTTTCAAATAGCCTATCAAACAGGCCAGTTATGTTCAGGGATAGATGCGTCGGTTGTAGCTAGGTAGCCCTCTTAGAAAAAAAAAAAAAAAATCTAGCCTAGGCAAAGAAATATTTATGGCTACACCCTGGTCATTTCCTTCAAACTTAAATGGAATAACCTAACTGTTAGTGAAAAATAGAATCATCAAGTGTTCACTACTACCAAAAGATTCGAACACACAATGTTTACTATATATATATATATATAAACCTTTATAATTCCAGGTTTATTGTGGGAATATGCATAATTAATTAACATAAGAATTGATGTAATTACAGGCCCGTTTCTGGAGCTTCGATGAACCCAGCGAGGAGCTTAGGCCCAGCAATTGTTAAGCATGAATACAGAGGAATATGGGTGTATATAATAGGGCCGGTGATTGGGACTGTTGCAGGAGCATTTGCTTACAATTTGGTAAGATTTACAGAGAAGCCACTTAGTGAATTGACCAAAACTTCTTCATCTTTTCTCAAGACCAATTCAAAAGAATAATTCTTATTAATTAATGTTTTGTTAGAGTTGACGATATTTTAACTATTTCTATTTCTAGTTTATTATATTTATCCATAATTTATCTTTCATTCTCATTCTTCTTCCCACATTAATATCATAACACTATCTATTACCAAAATAGTAATTATAATTCATTAATAATAATCTAATAATTAATTTTTAAAATAAAAAAATATTTTCTCCAACCAATCACGTATTGATATTTTGACATTATAATTTTTCAATAAAATAATAATAATAATAATAATAACGCGGCTGGTCCTCTGCGTTAGGACTGACAGGGCGTGTTTGTCACATGCGTGTCTTGAAGCGATTTGCAAGTGGCAGTTAAAAGCGTCCACTTTAAATTACACTGTTCAAAAACGCATGAGGCAAAGCCAAAGCCAAAGCCGAACCCAAATATCATCTCTCTCTTCAATTGGACCCATAAAATAAAATATAAAATAGCCAACAAAACCAAATTTGACTACTCAGTACAGGCACTTCCCCTCACTGACTCTCGCACTCTCTCTCTCACACGGATCAGGTCATTCATTCATCGAAAATCAAACCCTAACTTTCAACAACAATCAAAGAAAAGAATGGGAGATCCTGTCGATAGTCCTATGACAGGAGTTGAATCGACTATCAAGGAGGAGCTCTCTATGGAGATTGACCCTCCCTTCCGAGAGAATGTCGCCACTGCTGAGGACTGGCGGAAGGCGCTCAACAAGGTCGTTCCTGCTGTCGTCGTCCTCCGAACCAACGCCTGTCGTGCCTTCGACACTGAGGCCGCTGGTGCCAGCTACGCCACTGGTTTTGTCGTTGACAAGCGCAGGGGAATCATCTTGACTAATCGTCACGTCGTCAAGCCGGGTCTTTTCTTTTTTAAACTAATTTTTTATTGACTAATTTCATCTCAATTTTGTTACATCGAGGAGACGATAACCTTAGTCTGTCAGCATTTACTTGAATATGACCGTTGCAATGTGTATTTAGTAATCTTTTCTTTTTCTTTCTTCTCGTAATGGAAGGATGTTTAAATGTTGTTTATCTTTTTTTTTTTCATATTGTTTCTTCCATATAAAATATGGTGTTGATTTTTTTTTTCTTGTAATCTTGAGAAATTGTTTTAGCAGAATAGGTTTTGCTTTCTAGAAAATGTAGGAGATGGATGGACTCTTGGATTGTAGGTCTGGTTTCTTGGCTATACTTATTTGTGCTTTCTATAGTTTTTCTGTTTAATGTCATTGTTTATTCAGAATCAAGATAATAGATTATTATACTATGAATTTGATTAGAAGCGTCTCCATAAATTTGATTTCTCATTTGTAAAAGTTGTTCATTTAGTTGAAGTTCGGGTTTTGGAGGGTTTAAACCTGGACTGTACATAGCAGAGGATTATTTTTCAAGTATGCTTTATGTATGGGTTTTACATGTTAAAGGAGCCAATCTAATGTCAAATTACATTTGCATGAGTTAAGTTTTCCTTTTGTGGCACTGATAAGTTCCGATACCTGCTTGTGCCGTCCCCAATTATTTGTGTACAAAGAAATGATATTGTCAAGTTTTGGAGATCACCTTATTATTATTATTATTATTATTATTATTATTATTTTGTACAACACTTAAACTAGATATCGGGCATAGTTGTTTGAATTTTTGTCACTATTTAACACGTATTTGTGATTTTCTGGACCTATAGGACCTGTAGTTGCTGAGGCCATGTTTGTAAACCGGGAAGAAGTCCCAGTGTATCCTGTGTACAGAGATCCGGTGAGTACCGTCGCCATCAAACTTAGCTAACCATGTTCTCTGACTTTTTAGTGATTAATAAGCTCTAATGTTAGTAGATTGAGTGATTTGAAAGCCACTACATTGTTTGGTGAGTAATATTATTTGATTCAGCATGGCATTGGCCATTCTCTTTCATTCTTATCCTAATCTTTATACCTGACCCGTTACACAGTTTATCAATATGTACACTATTTTGTTTTCCTCTCATCATGATAATAATTGTGATATATACATTTGAACGATTTTATCCTTGTGTATTAAATACCGTCTGTGTCAACAACAATAACATTTTGTGTACATCCTTTCAGGTTCATGATTTTGGCTTCTTTCGTTATGATCCTAGTGCAATACAGTTTCTGCAGTATGAGGAGATTCCTCTTGCCCCTGAAATTGCATGTGTTGGACTTGAAATCCGGGTTGTTGGGAATGACAGTGGCGAGAAGGTATTTACGTCACACATGCAATTCCTTAATATTTTAGGGTGCTTTATTACTTTTGTATCTCAAATATTAATGCAAATTTACACTTTATATTATTCAATGATTATAGGGCATTGTTTTCCTTTTTTTGCTATTTGAATATATTGCTTGAAAGCTTAAGTTGATAGATCCTCGTATAAGAGAAAAAAACTAATTAGAAGACAAAAATTATAGTTAAACCACCTGCTTTCTTTGTGGTTAAAGAAGCCTGTTTCTTAAAATTCATCTTTTTATTATATTTTTTTCGATTATCCACAATTCCTTTGGGGGCATAAGGTTTTAATTGGGACAGTTGTGGGGCTTTACAACTGTGGTAATCAGAATATTTTTGGGAGTTAAATCCTAATTCAAGTGTGATGATGAGAGACCCTTAGTTTCAGCACGTAAGAAATTCTCAATGCAAAGCCCAGATCTTTATCTATCTTCTTTTTCTGTATAAGATTTACTATTCACTTTCCCAAAAACTGCTCTCACAACTTTCTTGATTGTTATATTTTGGTTTCAAATTCTAGCCTAACAAGTATGATATCATAATTAATAATCTCATTCATGGTTTCTACTATAGCAAAATCTTTATCAATCAGCTGAAAAGATAACATGCATATTTCAGCCTTACATTGTCAATATGATTGTTGTAATCAATCAGTTTATTCTTGTGTTTGTGGTTTTATTTAGTTCCTCTTTAAGATTACAACTTGTGATGATGGTTTCTTTATTTTTTATTGATTTTTTGTCAACCTACCCGAAAGGGCAAAGAGTTTCGCTGTTGGTATTATGTGTACTTCTGTTTCCTGGGTGTCAAATTGTTGTTGTCCTACGTCCTAGTAATCATATGATTATATGATTTAATAGTAACCAGCTTAATTTATTATAGGAATATTTTGGTCAATTTCTCTTTTGTTTATTTGTCTCTAAATTTGCAGGTATCAATTTTGGCTGGAACTGTTGCTCGTTTAGATAGAGATGCTCCTCACTATAAAAAGTAAGCAGTAGCTTTTAGTAATGTTCTCTTTTGTCTTTCTTCAAGGAGAATGTTCATTTGAAAAAGTATATAAAATTTGTTCTAACACTGCTACAGTTCAGTGATGATTGTGGTTAATATATGGTTGTCATCTTATGTTGAAATCAGCCCACTGATGCTCTTTTCTTGAATAATTCTTTTGGTTCATTCCTAATATCATAGTCCCTTGTTTTTGAGGCTTCAAGGCATAGTTTTCATTACATTCTCACTAACCTCATTTGCCGTTTCTTTTGCCTTTTTAGCTCTGCTGAACTTTAATTATCACGCTAATTCATAATATGGAAGCCTGGTTCCTTTATTCAGTTAATATCTGTGATGCATTCTCGTATTGCACTTGATTTTCTTTTTATATCCTCTTTCTTCCCCTATTTTTTTTTGCAATCAGTATTTTATATCCAACTGACTGTTGGCTTCTCTGATTCTCATGTTGATCTTCCACAATACATAGTAGTTAACAGTGGCTGCTTTTTGGTGCAGGGATGGCTATAATGATTTCAACACATTCTACATGCAAGTAAGTATTTAAGCTAAGATCGGAGGAAATCTGACAATTATCACATACTTAGTCTTTTCTCGAGCAATTGTTGAGTTCTGTGGCTGTATATATGCTTTAAGAGTTACTTTTCTTTTGCCATTGTGGACATCTAGTCCATTGTTGTAACTCTTTTTATCATTGATGCACATATTTTTGTTTTCTATCCCAAAAAAAAAAAAAAAAAAAAAAAAATTCCTTCTTCTTATTTTGATTAAGTATTTTCTTTTCTAGAATTGATGCAGACTGTTTACTTCTTTTCGTTTATGGTTTCTACCTGGGGTGTGTTTAACATTTTTGTTCTAATCTGATGGAAAATTTATAGCGAGAATGGGACACAAAATTGAAGTGGGTGAATGAGATCTTATTTTTGAAAAGGTTATAAATGGAAGAAAGAAGAACCAGAAACCCAGTGGGCGTGAAAACATTGAATCTCAGAAATGCAGCACCTTTTGTGTTTTTTTATTGGATAAGAAATTAGACAATTATATTGGCATCTTAGTGCTGAAAATCTCAGACTGATGTGAATCTCTGTTTGATATACCTCTTATGATTTAGAAGATCAGAAGTGCAAAGGGATTTCGTTTGCCAAAAGGTTTAGACCATGATAGGATGAAAGATGAACAAGAAGAACTGATGGATTTGAAAACACTGCAAGCCTAAACTGCCCTACAAGATGGTTGTTACCAGGTGAAAGAAAAACTAAGATGGAAGAGCTCTGCCATTAGAGAATCATTTGAACTTATAAGATTTCGAAGATCAGTTGTGTAAAAGTTGATTTGAGGGCCAATTGAAAATGCAAATCTTGGCATCATGAAATTGTTGATTTCACAAATTTTATCACCAAAATTTAACACCACTATTTAAGCTGTCACTGTTGTACTATGTTGTTTCTATTATTTGGCTTGAGTTGTAACAATCTGTTTAGTTCTTTTAGCATAAATTTGGCATTGATATAGGATTGACTTTTTGTTTTGATTTTACAAAATTCAAGAAAGCCATAACATTTTATTGCTGCAACCAATTTGGGAAAAAGCTTTTCTGGATCCAAATTTTGCTTAAAGTTGCAGTATTTGTGCCTGTTGGTCCTATGTTAGTATGGTTTATTGCAGCCTATGTTTTTCTGTGATTGCAGGCAGCATCGGGGACTAAGGGTGGTTCAAGTGGTTCTCCAGTTATTGATTGGCAAGGTAGGGCAGTGGCCTTGAATGCAGGTAGCAAGTCGTCAAGTGCATCTGCCTTTTTTTTACCTTTAGAACGGGTGAGTTTCTTTTATTTATATGTCGACCCTTTGTGTCACAATACTGGTTATTGTATGAGATAGAGCATAACTTTTGCAGTGTTGCAAATAATTAAAATTAAGAGGTTACTGTTCTTGAGTTTGTGAAGAGTGGCTTATGTCATAACTGAAGTGATCTAAACAAACTTACTTAAGATCTGATATTGTTTCCTGCAAATTTCTAATTTTTTCGTGTTTAGTTAAAAAGTTTTTGAATAGGTTCAGGTAAAATTTTATACAGAACTGTGATATTTGGTCTAATGCATTGTTATTAACACTTTTTTTCAAACATTTAATTTAGAACAATATATTCGTTCAAAAAAAAATGTATCATAGAAGAGAATTTTATTATCAGTGCTTATGATGGTTCACTAGTTAGACTAGTCTACTTGAATTGTGAGTTTTGAAGAGCATTTATAAGGAATGCATTGATTTATGGCACTCCTGGATGGAGTATATAGAAATTGTGTAATATTGATTGTTGGTGGAGGTACGCTATGTAATAGACATGATTTTTTAATATGTTCCTCATAGTTTTAGTATTTTGTATTTAAGTTCCTCCTTTTTTAGAGGTATTATACCAAATTTCTTTTCTAATTCAATAAACTGGAATGCTTAACTGTTGCATTAGATCCTGTTACTGCCCTTCTGGCCATAGTGCATATCTCAGATGGTGAAAAGAAATTTTAGTTTCTGACTGGAATTGTTTCCATATCTTTATTAACTTTTGTGATTGTTTTATAGGTTTCTAGTACAATGTTTGTGTGCTCACCTTTTGCTTTGTTTGAATATAAAATTAGTTAAGACCTACACTAAAAGTTGATACTTAAACCATGTGGTTTTATACAAATGGATCAGGTCATGTCACTGTTCATTAGATTTACTCCTAGGAGTTCTACTATCCAAGTTTTCTATTTCTTCTGAAGGTTCGCTTTGCTCTTTGGGCCTTTCTGCCATATATTGTCATTGTACATGTGAACCCTTGAATTTTCGTTGAATACCTAGTTTTTTAAGTCAGTAGTTTCTCGCCACTGAAAACACATTATTATTCGATTTTCAGGTTGTAAGAGCACTAAGATTCCTCCAGAAGGGGAAAGATTCTTATATAAATAAATGGGAGGCAGTTTCTATTCCTCGTGGTACGCTACAGGTTTGTTAATGCTGTTGTGCTTGTAACGCCTTACTTTTACTGATGTTTCATTTTTTTTTTTTTTTTTTTGGGAAATGATGTTTCATTTATTATCATTGTGTTTTTGACCTTTTGTTTCAACTATGTTAGAAAGAAGGTTGAACACATGTTGGTCAGTGTCATGAAGAGTTTGTTGTGATGTCTTGATTCAGTAATTCTCAGATTTATATTTCCTAGTAGATTGCTAAAATTCTATCCCCACTCATATTCTGCTTGGCATTGGCTCTTGTATGATATCAATTTTTTTCTTGCAATGTAATTGTTTTGGCTTATTCTTTTTAGTGAATATAATCCCTGAGTTCATCCCTAAGCAAATGAAGCAGATGTGAAATATGATCAATTTATAGATGGACGAAAATTGGTGTTCTTGCTGTACTATTTATGCCCATATTTAAAATTGTTTTCTTTATTCATCTGAATTCGATAGCAATCTTGGTCAAGCATTTCTTGGGGTGTTTTGATATACTTTTGTGGACGAATTGGTACTCTCTTGTACTTATTTTAAGCTTGTTTAACTGAAACACATATAGATTTACTATGGAAAGCTTATTCATTGCTTTGCAAATCCTTCTTACACTTATATAAGTTTTATTCAGTTTCATCTTTGAAAAAAAAAAAAAAATTCTGGTATGCTTTTGGAACCTCCCCTTAGTAATGATGTCTGTGGCCTTATTGCAATACCATTTCATTATGTGTGATGGGATTGTTGTATTTATTTGTTTATTCTTGATTCAGAGTATGAATATTTCTTAACAAGTTGTTGCTTCTGCTTAATATATGCTATTGTCATTGGTGTACAGTGTGGAGAATTTATTATTTGTGACATGCGACAGTTATTTATGATGTAGGTGACATTTCTTCATAAAGGATTTGATGAGACCCGACGACTTGGTCTCCAAAGCGGAACGGAGCAGGTACTTGGGTTGTTACTTACATTCTCTTGTTTTGATAAATATCTTATGTAGAGTACGATTTCTGAATATTCTATCGTACATGTGTTTAGATGGTGCGACATGCATCTCCTCCCGGAGAAACTGGATTGCTTGTTGTTGACTCTGTGGTGAGCATACTTGAGAGTTCTGTATATATTTTCTTAAATAAAGTAGTCATGTTTGTTTCTTTCTAGTCCAATTATATACTTACCACAATCTCTTTTTTAATATCATGTTTGTAATAAGATTTTATACATATTTCAGGTGCCTGGTGGCCCAGCTCATTCACAATTGGAGCCGGGTGATGTCCTTGTTCGTGTGAATGGGGAAGTAAGTGGTGCCTTCAAATACTAACTCTAGTTATTTCTTGCACTGACCCATTTCTGGTGTGTGTTTAAGTTATATATATATATATATATTTTTTTTTTTTTTTTGCTTCGGTTGCTATATTCCTTGACAGGGTTAGTTAACAATAGATTGGTGCTCTTTTTTCTTGTTCTTCTGCCCCTCCCTCAGCGTGGGTGACTCTTTAAGTATTTTATCAAAATGCATATGGTCTTGTTTCTGAATGTGTGTATGGTTATCTTCCTTGTTGCAAAGGTTGGTTTGTCTGTTAGATCGTGAAGAGCTGTAATAGCAACTTATAATATATGTGGGCTTAGTTTGTAGTTTGCACGTGTACCTATTCTGCTTGTGATGATGCTGGGTTGTGGGATTTATGATGTGTTTCACTTTATTTTTTTGTATGTTTATTTAAAAAATGACCCTAGATATATGGAAGAAACTTCATTTCAAATATTCATTTCCCTGAAAAAGTTGAGTAATGGCAATATTCAATGTTTGATGACTTTTCTTGATCATCAAAATTCTACTGCAGGTGATTACTCAATTTCTGAAATTGGAGACTTTGCTTGATGACAGTGTTGGGAACACAATTGAATTGCAGATTGAAAGGGGTGGCACATCAATGACTGTAAACTTAGTGGTGAGGCTCATAATGGCTTGCAAGTTTGTTATTGTCAACGTTCAACACAATTGCTGAATTTAATATGTTCTCTTTTAAACTTCAGGTCCAGGATTTACACTCAATAACTCCTGACTACTTCTTAGAAGTAAGTGGTGCAGTGATACATCCTTTATCATATCAACAGGTAGGTTAAATTTTGCTGCTTTTGCTATGTAAGCATGTCAAGATATTTTCAAATTTATTTGGTGAATTTGTTTACATTTTAACCCTATCTCCAGAAGTTCACTCAAAATTAAGCATAAATTTTTATCAGAATTGGGTAAAACTTTTCTCTGTTTGGATTGTGCTAACATGGTTTAGACTATAATGTGGTTTACGTTTTATTTTCTGTGCTTGCTTATTAAGATACATTATTCAAATGGTTGCTTTTTACAGGCTAGAAATTTCCGATTTCCTTGTGGTCTTGTCTACGTTTCGGAACCTGGGTAAGTTTATCAATATGTACTTACTGAAGTTTTGTATTGTTAGCTTTATTTTATTTTTCAGCTATTGTTTTTTTTATATGTTGTTTTCTGCTGATTTAGTTATTTAATGTGAGAAGAAAGTCTATCATGATAAATTTGATTGTAGAGTGAATCAACTGCACATGATCACATATTTAATTACTTTAACATTTTACTAGTGGAGAAAGTTCTTATGAGATGTATTACTGGTGCTTTTGTTGTTAGCCTAAATGTCACACTACAGATTTTGTCCCTAAAAATCATTGGCACTTATTTAGAATAGCATGTTTGGTCAGCATAACCTTAATGGCTTACAATGTTCAAGGATCACTCCATGTTGAATGAGAAACACTTGTTTAACGTGAATCAATGGGTTTGGTGGAGTAACATCACCTAGTGTCTAATTAATATTTAATATCACTGATTACTTAATTTTCTGGGACTCAAGTGAGAAGATTGTATGTTGTACAACACAATTTTGTTTGACATGATGTATCTTTCTGATTTGCCAACTCTTTTCTTTTAAAATTGTTATTTCAATTTACAATGTTACCCTGTTTCTTCTTCTTGTTATTTTTTAAATATTTAATGTTCAACTATTGCAGATATATGCTATTTAGAGCAGGTGTTCTTCGCCATGCGATCATTAAGAAATTTGCTGGTCAAGAGATATTGCGGCTTGATGAACTAATCTCAGTTCTCTCTAAGCTGTCTAGGGGTGCTCGAGTGCCATTAGAATATGTAAGCTATACGGACCGCCATCGCAGGAAGGTATATGATTTTAACTATTGCCTCGTTGCCCTATTGGATATTTATTGCAAAAAAGTACTGCCGGTTGTGCTATCTAAATTTCAGTATATATGTTATATTTGATGTTTTTCACTTGGGTTTATGATAGTCAACACATTTCATTATGCTAATGGATGATGATATTGAATTGAGGGTTGGTGAGGGGCAACAAGTAAATTGATGAGTTCTGGCCCTTTCAATACCTCTATTTCAGGCCTAAATGTGTTTTATGATTGATTCACTCAATTATTGCTAGTTTGTACCTGAGAATTGGATTTAGTATGAGATAAGGTAAAGGTTATCAGAGTCACTGATCTATTATTCCTGGTTTGACAGTCTCCAAATTTCAGGCCTAGGCACTGGGTATAGTTGACTTAAAGTGGCTGTTAAATTCTGATATGATTATTCAAAATTTAATGAGTGCTTTCTAATTAATGACTTAACAGGTTGTGGGGTACTTATTGCCTCAGTGATTTTAATCCTCTGCAACTTCTAGAAGTTTGTTTTGAAGATATTTTCTTAAAAAATATTTTCCTATAAGAAGCAAGATTTTATTGATATTTAAAGAATGACTGGAAAAGAGTAAAGCAGTGGACCACCCTACAAAACGTTGCATCGCTCTATACGAAACACATAGTGACGCCAGAAATAGAATATCCTCACTGCAAAATAATCTGTAATCAGGTGATAGAAATCAAAATCATCTAACTGCTGGGTGTCTTCGGTATGTTTTTGTTATTTCTGGAGCAGAATTGTAACTGTAAAGTGTCTGAGAAATGTTGTAACATTTGAAGGGCTAAATGTGGGAGTTTTCTATCATTTAGAGCAGAAACATAGTGCATTTTATTATACCATTTATTAGATACTGTAGTTACTCTTTTTGATGTGTATTCCTATTGGTATTCAGCCATGCATTGCCACTTTTTGATTATCATTCATATAAGCCTGCTTACTGGTGTTCTCAAATATGAAAGCATTGTCAGCTAATTTTCCTTTTATGCTTGCGTCCTTCTATCTGGCTGCATATATTGTTTTCTATTCATTGTTCATTGTGTACTTGTGGGTGTGGTGCACACATGCACAGTCCTCACTCTTTAAGTTTTAAGTGTTAATTGATTTTTTGTTGTGTCTGCAGTCTGTTCTTGTAACAATTGATCGCCATGAGTGGTATGCTCCACCTCAGATATACACTCGTGATGACAGTTCTGGTCTGTGGACAGCAAGGCCTGCTATTCAGTCCGAGTCTCTGTTGCTGGCATCGGGTACCAATGGTGCAGGTCTAGGCTTAAACAATCAGACAATTCTGTCATGTGGTGAGCCTGTTCATATGGAACATAAGCATCAAGGTAATGACCAAGAGTTGACTGATGGTGTTACTAGTATGGAAACTGCCAGTGGAGATGCTTCTATAGAGTCACATTCTCGAGATGAATCTGATAGTGGGAGAAAGAAACGACGAGTGGAAGAGTACGCATCTGCTGATGGTGTAGTTGCTGACGGCTCTGTACATGAAAGTGGAGATGTTAAGTTGGAGGATCCAAGTACCATGGAAAATGCAGGTTCAAGAGACTATCAAGGTGCCACTGCAGTGACAACAAATGCTTCATTAGCAGAACGTGTGATAGAGCCCACTCTTGTAATGTTTGAGGTAATAATTGAAAGGTCCTTACATCATGATTACCTTAAATTAGCTGTCTAATTTTGTTGATTGCCTTCGGTTTTGGTCAGCGATCTTCTGATACTTGTATTATTTTCTTTATTGCTTTCTTGAGATAAATGTTTTTCATTACAAAAAGTAAGTGCTGCTATTTTGTATCAGGATTTACATTTGATACTGTATTAATAGGTTCGACCTTGGGCTTGGCAAGTGTTGCACCTCATTGAAAGAATTTTCTTTGGTTCAGTCCTTTTTTTTTTTTTTTTTTTCCCAATGAAATTATTATTTTAATTATAAAATATTTTCTGAGGAAGTGATGTATTCTTCTTGTAAGTTTTCATATTTTCCTTTGGTATCTGCTGGTGATGGGGATGATAGGTTCTTGTGAGGCTATTACTAATTAAATGTGGCCAAGCTTAAAGCTGTTAGAAATTTATTGCATATGGCTCAACGAATTAAATGCAGGACGATACAGAGAAACTTTCTCACTAGATTTTTCCATGAAGCAAAAGGAGCTGTAACATTATTATTTCTTGGTGAAAATTCTAGACCATGGGGACCTCTTAACGTAAAGGAGACAAACTAAAATAAGTTGTTTTTGTTTTTTTCCTGTTGAAAAGTGTTTGAGATGATTTGTGGGTTGTGTGGTCTGCTAAGGTCACTATTTGGTTCCTTTAATTATTCTGTTTGATTCTTTGCTTTTCTCTCTCTCTCTCTCTCTCTCTCTCTCTTTTCTCTATATAAAATTTTGTTTCTGAGAGCTTGCATGACAAATAATCTTCTGGAGTAGAATAAGATGATTGTTATACTTGCAGGTTCATGTACCACCGTCATGTATGATTGATGGTGTCCATTCTCAACATTTTTTTGGAACTGGTGTCATTATATACCATTCTCAAAACATGGGGTTGGTTGCAGTTGACAAGAACACAGTTGCAATTTCTGCGTCAGATGTGATGCTTTCATTTGCTGCTTTTCCAATTGAAATACCCGGAGAGGTAAACTTTTAAAACGTAATTAGTTGAAGGCTTTGTCTTATGCTATTGGTTAAGTTTGCCTACTTTGTGTTGCAGGTGGTTTTTCTCCATCCTGTTCACAATTTTGCTCTTGTTGCTTATGATCCTTCTGCCCTGGGGGCTGCTGGTGCTGCAGTGGTTCGTGCTGCTGAATTACTTCCAGGTAGTTGCCTTTTGCTTTCATTCCACACTGTTATCCTTCAGATTACAATGTTCTATGTGTTTTCTGTATTTTATTGATGCATCACCATCCGTATAATTGTTAGTTTTTACATTTGTACTTTCTTAAACAGAACCTGCATTGCGCCGTGGGGATTCAGTATGTCTTGTGGGGCTGAGTAGAAGTCTACAAGCAACGTCTAGGAAATCCATTGTGACCAACCCGTGTGCCGCTTTAAATATCAGCTCAGCTGATTGTCCACGATACAGAGCAATGAATATGGAAGTCATTGAGGTTGATACTGGTAAGGGAGTCAGAATTGTTTATAATGAATCTTAAAATTATGAAAACTGGTATGAGTTCAGTTGGTTTTTATTAAATGCTGTATTGCAGACTTTGGTAGTACATTTTCTGGTGTGTTGACTGATGAGCAAGGAAGGGTTCAAGCTATCTGGGGAAGCTTTTCAACTCAGGTTTCTACTGTTAAATATCTGCTTGCTATCTGCTACAGTGTGGCAATCTGTTTTGATGCTTACTTTCCAATTTCAGCTGAAATTTGGTTGCAGTTCGTCAGAGGATCATCAATTTGTCAGAGGTATTCCAGTAGATACAATCAGCCAAGTTCTTGACAAAATCATATCTGGAGCAAGCGGACCATCTCTTCTTATAAACGGTGTTAAAAGGCCAATGCCACTTGTTAGGATTTTAGAGGTTGAACTTTATCCTACTCTGCTTTCAAAGGCTCGGAGCTTTGGTCTTAGTGATGATTGGGTCCAAGTATGCTTTCTTCCTGATGCTTTGTTTCATTTATATTTTATTATTTTTTGCATGTGCAATATGAATGGTCCATACCTTAGAAATTCTCTTATATGATGTGATGTTCATTAATGGTAATATGTGTTTGTTATTTTTCTTGTCTGCTTACTGTGTACATGGGCTTTTTGATATTAGTTTCCTTGGAAATTTATCTTGATATGCAAAACGAGAGACATGTTTGCATTTTTACTAGTTTGGTTTTATATTTTGAGATGGATTCGAATTGAACCTTTTCTTTTACATGCTTCTTAAAATGATATATTTTATACATGCATTTTGAAATAAAAAATTCTGGCTATGTTAGTTCATTTTTGTTGTTCATTGTTGGTCAATGTTTCCTGTAGGCTCTTGTCAAGAAGGATCCAGTGAGACGACAAGTTTTACGTGTTAAAGGTTGTTTGGCTGGATCAAAAGCTGAGAATTTACTTGAACAAGGTGACATGGTGTTGGCAGTCAATAAACAGCCTGTTACTTGTTTCCATGACATAGAAAATGCTTGTCAAGCATTGGACAAATATGATGAAAATGATGGGAAGCTTGACCTGACCATTTTTCGGCAGGTAAGCAAACAGATGTGCTCTTTATAAATTTCAGATTTTTAATTCCCATCTTCATTGTCTTATTATTTTTTTGTTTTAAAGAGTACAAACTGGAGGGTTTTTTAATTTTTTCAAATTTTTGTTGAATTAGCTTTGATTTGTAGTGTAGGATGTGTAAGATCTGTAAATTCCTCATTATTACATACTTTGAAGTACATGATTTTCAGGGACGTGAAATTGAGATTAAGGTGGGAACAGATGTCAGGGATGGGAATGGCACAACACGTGTGATAAATTGGTGTGGTTGTATTGTTCAGGATCCTCATCCTGCAGTCCGTGCCCTGGGATTTCTTCCTGATGAAGGTCATGGTGTGTACGTAGCAAGGTAAGAATTTCGCATTTACTTGTAGACTTTACATACTTTCTTTGACATGGAAAGAACATCATGGTTAGAGTGTTGACAGCAACGTATTTGGATAATCGTCATATGGAGACATTAACTTAATAGCCCTGCTATAAATTTACTCAACTAGCAAACTTTATTACTCAACTATCTGGACCATTAGAGGCAATTGTTTTGAATTTTTTATGTAATTGCTAAATTCATATCTTGCTTCTTTGTGGGCTTCAGTCACAATTTTTTTTTTTTTTTTTTTTTTTTTAAAGTATTTTCACTTCTGCTGTGACCATTTCCTTGCTTTACTAACTGGAAAAAAATCTCTTACCAACATGATATTGATGATCTGTCCATGTTATCAGGTGGTGTCATGGTAGTCCAGTTCATCGATATGGTCTGTATGCTCTTCAATGGATTGTTGAAATTAACGGAAAGCCAACTCCTGATCTAGATGCTTTTGTCAATGTGACAAAGGTATTTTTACTTTATTACCAGTATTTACATTTTGATTTAATCCTTTATCTATCTGTTTATCTATCTACTTGCATTCATACACAATTATTTGTATGTGAAAATTTTCCATCTTTTTTGTTTATGACTCCCGAAAGGCTTAAAGTTTTCCCTTAAGAAAAAGCTACTGACATGTTAAAAGTTAAAAGCTCTTTCTTATGCATTAGTTGAGGCGTTTTATCCTGTTGATTTGGCTAGAATCCCCTTGTTTTTTATGTAACACTGCTTTATTGCATAAGTTTTTTGCTTGATATGTATTTGTTGGAATTAGTGACTTACAAATGTTCTTCAGAGGTTTTGAGATGGATGGAGTAAACTGATTTTCTTGATACTGATTTAGGAAATAGAGCATGGAGAATTTGTCCGTGTAAGGACAGTTCACCTGAATGGGAAGCCTCGAGTTTTAACGTTAAAGCAGGATTTGCACTACTGGCCTACTTGGGAGCTGATATTTGATCCTGATACTGCAATTTGGCGCCGAAAGACCATCAAGGCAATAGACTGCAGTAGTGTATAAAGGAAAGTACTAGACTTCACTGCACCCTTTTTCATCGAGGAGCAAGTTGGAATTTGAACATAGACTGACTTGGAATTCTTGGTTCCACTGAAGCAGCAAGCTCGCGCTCTCTGTTAGATATATAGAAGAGCTTTGAGAATTGAGTCGAAGGAGGTGGCTACAGTGCATTTGCTATATAGTTAGACACTTATTGTGCCCAAATATTAAAATTATAAACTCTTTGAGATATAAACCAATTTATACATGATATTTATTAGGGAAAAAAAAAAAAGATAAATAAAAGATGTTTTGAGTTTGCCCTTGTGATGAAAGTTTTAGTTGATATTACAAAATGCTCTGTAAAACCAGTATCTGTTTTTATAGACGCCCTTGCCTTCTGATTGAATGATTGACAGGAACTGAGTTGTTGCTTATCCCAATTCCCAAGCAGGTAGTTGGGACGTCTAATTTCATGTTAGACATTAGGAGATAAAAAGTTTCAAAGTTGAGTGGAGGTCCTTTATTCGCAGCATGTGATTTCTTATGTAAAAAGTCTTTACAGCACTTATATATTATCACAATTCGTATCTTATATGGAGGAATATTCCAATTCAGTGGTCACAAAAACAAAGTTGTGTTTTATTTACAAAGCAAAACTATATGTTTATAAACCTATCCGACGACATTAATATTTCCATCTCAACTTTTAAATTTACCATTGAAGGGCATTATTGTAGACTCAGTATATTATTGTTATATATATGAACGCTTTTGCATTTGTCAGCTTGTGTCACAAATTATTTTGGTGAATGGTAGGTTTAGAACTTTGCATCTCCATCGAATCTTTTGGACCACCAAGCCTTGACACCAAGTGACAATGACTATGAGGTGGCTATAATCATAGACGATGCCAAACAAGAAAATAAATATACATCGCATCATTGCCTTTTACTCTTAAAGTTTATAATTTATTTTTCTAAAGTGTAATTTGCTTTATAACAATCCAATATAAGAAATTGGGTGCCACAAGTTATGCGATAAGCACTTTTATCAATATATTTTCGCTTCCCATATAATTGATTTCTTATATTTTACAAAAAAAAAAAAAAAACCAATATCACATTGTAATTTCCAAATTAGATATCAATTAATTCTCAAATTCTTGAAGAAGCACATGTCAGTAACATGAAATTCTAGTGAGAATCTCTAGTATGTCACCAACTCTTCAGTAGATACATGGAATGGAACATATAGTGAAAAAACATAAAATCTGTACGGCATTGTTCTCCTACTAGCCCTTCCCAACTTAGCCATCACCATTGCCAATCAACTTGGCCTCCTAGACATTTTTCATAATATATAAACCCACGAAAATGATGCATGGAACCATAAGGAGCGATCGCTGAAGTGACATTGCCATGGAAAATTCGGGCGGAGGAGGGTACATGTAATACCATGGAAAGTAAGGCAATATTGGATTAGGAGGTGGTGGCGCAGCCCAAATGACGTTCCCAGGAGGCGGTGGGGGTAGTGGCAACCATGGTGGCTGTGGTATCACTGGTGGCTGTAGTTGTGGCGGCGGTGGTGCAAGTGGTGGCGAAGGTGGAGGAGGGCAGTTTGTGTTGGGTGTTGGTGGTGGTGGTGGTTGACAAGGGTAAGTACAAGCTTGAGTGGGGAGTGTAGGGTCAAGATTAATCAAAAAGACGAAGAAAAGAAGGGTTATGGAGAAAGCATTTGCATGGATGAATATAAGGGCCATGGGGCTTTACAGTGAAGGAGAAGAGGTTATGTTGGGTGTGGTATACATGTGTGGTGACTTACTATATATTGAAAGGTTTAAAGCTATGCGAGTGCAATCAATAATTCAATTCAATTATTTTTTTGAAAATTTAAGAAGAAACCTCCGCCTAAACAATTTAATACACCATTAAACTCTGGTTCAAGGAAAAGAAGAATTCTCTCTCTTTCTATATGAGTTATTACCAAATTAATGGTTAGAAATCGTTAAATCTCTTGAAAATTAAATGAGGTAATTCAGAAAGATCCAAATCATAATATATATATATATATATATAAAATCAATTACTTTTGCTTTAATGATTTGGCCCACTGAGTAGTGGGAATCATCTAATAAAAGAGCTTCAAATTAGTTGTAAACGTTGCCACTTTGACTATCTGAGTTGTGATTTATGAGTTAGGTTAATTAGCGTGGCCTAGGCCTAAAGGCTAAACATATAGGCTTAATTTATTTAAAATTGTAGTTAATGAATCATCTAAATTAAACTCTACACTTACCAATTTATAATATTCAGTCTTATCTTATTTTTTCCTCGTATTTTGTCAGAAACAAAATGATGTACAATTTCAAACAGGGGATTTAGCTATATTACCCCCTCAGTCTTGTTACCGGGGGAGTAATAACAGTTGATAATGGTCCCTTGGACGACGATGAGGGTATGTTACTGGGAGTGGGGGTAACAAGATCCTTGAAATAGGAAATGCTCAACAGCTGAGAAACGGTCCAGTGGGTGAACGAAACAGACTGATATGTCTTAATGTTTGTTGTTAAGCCAAATCCTTTTCTATATAATAAAGTTAGTGGGTCCTTTTCTATATAATGTTTGTTGTTAACACTATTCACATGCTTCTATAGTTATTTATATATACAGTATAATTCTTAAAATATGTAATATCAACCCAATTTGAATCGGTATATAAGATAACAGGAGTAATCTTCGTTTATTTTGTAAGATTCCGATGTTTGGTTTGCAAGTAATAAAATATTACGGTAATCTTTTATTGTAAATAATATTTATTATTGATAATGTGGGGGTAATTTTATTATCTTGTTAGGGAGTGTTATTAAAATATTACCAGGATAATCTGATTTTTCTACATATTTTGCCCTTAATTAATAACAATTTTGGACATAATTGCCCTCAAATATCTACCAAATAACAATTAACCCAGCCTTCCTACATTTAAGAAATTAGCTAAAACACCGAAACACAAAAAAGTTTAAAAGTTAGCAAAATACCCCCGGTCACTCAAGACCATTGCCGGTTGTCGGCGTCAGTCGTCGTAATGGTACACGGTCGACGAGATCTGGCCAGTCGTGCCTCGAAAACTGCCAAATCTAACATTTCTATGGTTGTTTCACTGTCAAAGATGTGGCTGTGAAAATGCCAGATCTTTGGCTATGAAATGGCCATAGATCTGGCCATTTTCCGGCCATGGATTTGTGATCCATGGCCATTTTCAGCTTTGCTAGTGCACGACCGGCCATATACAGTCAATCGTGAGCCATTTCATCGACTGCCGACAATGGCCAATAGTGGTGGCTGATTGTCGGTAGTGGCTTGGGTGGATGGGGATAATTTTGCTATAAATTTAAGTTTTATATGGCTAGGATGTTTTAACAAAATTTCAAATGTGCGAGGATTAAAAGAAATGATTCAAAAAATAATAATAAAAAAATTTATTATATTAATATTTAAAAATAAGGTCTATTTAGTAATCTATATAACGTATTCACTTATTTATCCTCCCAACTAAATATATTATTCATCAATTTATTTGAATTAATTACACATTTTTATAAACATTTTCAATAATTTTAAAAGTGATTTTTCTATATGTTAATATAATACACACCTTGTGACAAGCAAAGAAAGTAAAATTTAACTTTGTGATGGTGTGATCCGCATTTAAAACAGTTTGTAGTCAGCAGTCACTGACAGGTTGAAACTATAAATGCTGACTGACCTCAATCTTTCTATGTAGACAGGTTGAAACTATAAATGCTGACTGACCTCAATCTTTCTATGTATAGTTGAATGATGTTGCATTCATCTGGAAGTTCCTGCACAACACAGAGACAGAATTGAAGCTGTGAAAGCTGATGAGGTAGGAATTTCGATTAAATAAATGATGACCCACCTCAATCTTTCTATGTATAGTTTCATTACTGATGGCTATTTGGCTTTCATAAATCATACTCACATTCATGCATATTTTGTGGTTTGGTCGAGACTTACGTTTTGATTTTGAAAATTTTATTTAATTAAATCAAGTTTCCATGGAAATTAAGTAATTTGAATTTATATTTGGATTATTATCAGGATTTTGCCAACAATAACAGTTAAGAGTCAATGAACTTTAAAGAAAAAAAAAAAAAAAAAGAATTAATTATCATTTGAAACTAGTTTTTGCTTCGGATATCGAAACTACAGATACCTACTCTAAGCATTTTCAATTAGTTAGATATACCTAATTTCAGATAAAGATTTAGAAGTTAATTAACACTTACAAATTTTATTTCCCTGGAGAATTTTACAGGGAAAGGCCATAAATTATTCCTCTTTNGTCACACTAATATTAAATGAGATTGGTCAAGTTGATAAGAGTAAACGACACGTTCCCACCCAAGATTTGACAAAATCCTAAGTTAGTACCACTAGTTTTATTTATTTCAGATTCTCACCCTTAAAGTGACGAAAAAACATTTGATATAACGGTAAAGGGGTAAATTGGTCATTTTACATGGGCGGCGCACGTTAGCAGACCACTGCCTCTAACAGTCCTCCAACGCACATTAGCAGCTGTCGTTCCCGACGTTTTTCGCTCTTTTTTGGCGATTTTTCCACCCAAAATCACCCTTGTCACCACCATTTAAACCCTCATCCTCCCCTCTACAAAACCATACCATTCACAACCCCTCATCATTCGCCGATCTTCGGCCACGGCAATGAAAAACGGTCGATGAACACGAACTCTTGGCCGGTGAATGACCACGAAATGGTTGCTGGGGACATAGAGGTTTTATAGATTTGGGGACGGTGGTTGCATTGGTGGTGTCCAATTGGATTTTCACCGCCAGAATCCGGTGAAGAACACCGAAACCTTAAGCCTAACGGTACCGACGATTTGAGGGGCAAATGAGTCTGGAACCAGAGGGGTTTTGGACTACGGACTATGGGGAAGGTGATGGAGGTGACCAGGGGGTTCGACGTTGTCGGAAACAACCCGATCCGGGCTGTTTCCGACGAGGGTGTATAGTGACCGAGGGTGTTTTTGATATAATTTGAAAATAAAATGGTAAGTTTTGTAATTCTACTAATTTAGGGGTTAAAACATAATTTATTAATTTAGGGTTAAGGGCATTATGATAATTACACCCTCTAAACCCTAAAAATTCATAACACTGTTACTTTAAAGGTGGAAATATGGAATAAATGGAACCAGTGGTACTAACTTGGGATTTCGTCAAACCTTGGGTGGGAATATGTCGTTTACTCAGTTGAAATTAATGTTATCATCGATGGTGGACCAGCTAGAAGAATTGTGCAAGTTTATGGTATCCACTATCAGCTAGCACATTTTACAAGCCAACAAGATGAATATTTGCTTTCAGAAAGCT